CTCCCCCAGGAACTGCCACATGTCCTGCTCGCTGCAGCGGCTGAACAGCTTGGGGTACACTGGCCTGGGGCACAAAGCCAGGGGGCTATTAGCAGAGATGGGTGCCCACCAGCCCAGGGAGAAGCCAGAGGGACAGTGACAGGGTCACAGGCACCTGCTGTGGGGTGGGGTGGGGTGGAGTGGAATGGAGGGGAGAGGAGCAGGATGGAGTGGAGTGGAGAGGAGAGGAGGGGAGAGGAATAGAATGGAGTGAGGTGGAGTGGAGAGGAGTGGAATGGAGTGGAAAAGGGTGGAGTGGAGAGGAGTGGGGTGGGATGGAGTGGAGAGGAGTGGGACGGAATGGAGTGGGTTGGATTAAAGTGGAATGTCCACCCAGACCTGACCGTCTCACGGGTTTCACCCCATCAGGACAGCACTGGAGGACACCTCCACAATCTTTGCTGCTCAGGGATGTTCCCCTTTCCCCCTCACTCACCCAACACTCCCTGCCATGACACATCCCCCATCAACCTTGGGGATGGGGCAGCGGCAGCCAGCGACGTCTTCGTCATGAGACATGCCCAGGTTGTGCCCCATCTCGTGAGCCATGGTGGATGCAGCCCCAATGGGATTCATGCTGTGGTCCTGTGGGACAGGGAGTGCACTGTGGCTTAAATGCTCTCCTGGCTTCTCCGTAACTTCTTCTGGGGGCCCACTGGGGCTGCTCCCTAACACTGCCATGCTCAGGTAAAGGAAGACAAAAGCTGGACATGGTCCCATGGCCCCTGAAAACCCCCAGACTAGGCTTAGATACAGCAATTGCTCCAAACCAATGATTCATGGACCACCACATGTCTCACAGGCAACCACTCCAGCAAACCTGGGGAGGGTTGAGGAGCACATCCAGGATGGCTGAGGAGCAACTGCAGACCAAGTCATGGCTACCTGACAGGTGGTAGGAGAAGCCATGTGTCCACTGAGCTGCTCTGGGAAGCTCTTCAGGTGTACGAGAGCCCTCCACAGATACCCAGCTGGGTGTCCACAGCCCAAACACTTCCCTGAGGGTCAGTCACTCAAGGATTGGAGATGCCAAATCCAGCCCTAAGGCTGCAGAGAGGGAAAGCTGGAGAGCAGTGAAGGAGAGTGTCTCTGGACAACACAGGCTGTGGGGACCTACCTGGTTGACTCCACCTGAGTCCCTGGTGCACATCACAAGTTTCTTGGCCAACCCTACAGTGTTGCCATGGAAGTCAATGCCCCTGTGGGATGGAGATGCCATGGTGACGATGTGCCCTGAGTGGTGGCAGGGCTGTGAGGGTGGTGAGGTGGTGGCCTCCATCCTTACGTGATCAACTGGGCGTTGTCGTGGGGCTTCTTCCGCAGCAACTCTGACTCTCGCCAGTGCAGGAAGTTGTCCAGTGTCACCTCTGGGTTGGGGCTGACCACGATTTTGTCCTTGTGGCTCCACACCTCCAGGCCTATCAAGGCCACTCTCAGGCGAAGGGGCTGGTAGAGCTGGGGTGGGAGACAGCACTTGGATTTGGGCTGCACCAGCACAGGGAAAGTCTCACCTCCCCTGCAGAACCTGAGGCCAGGAACCCTCTCACTGTGCAATAGCAGCTCTGTCACCCTCAATAAATAACACGAGCTGGGGTGACCATGTAGATAGGGTTTCTCTGGGGACCTCTTGGCTTGGATGCTGCTCCCATGGTGTCAACCAACAAGTGAGGCTGAAGCAAGGCAAGCAGGAACCGTACCATGGTCCAATGCATCCCTCCCCTTGTTAGCACCCATTCCAGCCTGAGAGTGGACATGGGATGTGCTCCCAGGAGTTACAGGACAAAATTTCCCCCCCTTCTCTTACAGGCAGGGCTGAGCTGCTCATCATGTCCACCTGACACACTCCATTGGCAAAGAGCTGTGGTCATCCTGCAGCAGCCCACCTGCAGGCCTGAGATCAGCTCCAGCTCCACCAAGCTACCCATGCCCATCTCTCCTTCATCATCTCCATGCCCATGCTGGTGGTGTGGGAGATGGGAGGGCAGGCCCAGAGCCCAGGGCTCACCTTGTCCACGTGGTTCACGATCTCCTTCATGCGATTCTGCACTGTGCGCAAGTCCTTGTGCTTCCTGAACTATGGGGAGGACACAGAGAGGTTTCCAGGTTGGCTTTGAGCTCCTCATTGCAGAGAACAGCAAACCTGCAGGCAGCAGCTTGCCTCCCACCCCACTTACCTCCTCATTGTCTGCAACCAGGACCAGCTCCACGTACCGAGGACCTTTGTGCAATGGGGCTGATTTCTGGAAGGGAAGAGGAAAGTGAGGCTCAGCTTGCGGCTTGCCAAGCCAGGCAGTGACCCTCTCATGGCCTGTGTTGGATCCTGGGGTATCTTCCAAGGCTAGCAGGTCTCCTGGCTCCACTGTGAAGTTGGTTGTTTCAGGTTGCATGCTAGAAACCCCAAGTCTGCTACTGGGATCACACATGAGATAGGCTCTGCAGGCATCACAGAGCTCATGGGGTAGAAGGATGCTCCTGCTAACGGTAAAGGATCCACAGACCTGTTCCCACCAGAGCTAGGCCACTGAGAGCCACCTGTGTTTGGGTACCCAATCAACAACACATCAGAGAGGGACACCTCCAAGAGGCAGAACACCTCCCACTCTTCTCATGGCCTCCACAGGCCCTAGGCTCCTGCAAGCTCAGCTACAAGAAGGAGCAGCAATGCAATGTCTCACCCAGCGGTAGAGCTTCATGGCTGCAGGAACTTTGGGCTCATGGTCGTACTCCAGGGTGGCTCCAGGCTCTGGGCAGGTACCACGCTTGCCCCGCAGGTGAGCCG